CAGGGCAGTCAGGTTTGTGGATTTTGGGAAGGAGATAGAAGCGGGCGGTGCGGGGTTGGGGAACGATGAGGTTGGAGGCTGTGGGTGGAAGGTCACCTGAGGTGATGAGGTTGTGGATTGTTTGGGAGATGATGGTTTGGTGGTCGGGGGTGGGGTCATGGTCAATGGTATACTGCATCCGCTGTTCCCGTTGTGGCCTCCCCTACATCGGGGAAACCAAGCGGAGGCTTAGGGACCGCTTTGCAGAACACCTACGTTCGGTTCGCACTAAACAACTGCACCTCCCAGTCGCGAACCATTTCAACTCCCCCTCCCATTCCTCAGACGACATGTCCGTCCTGGGCCTCCTGCAGTGCCACAACGATGCCACCCGAAGGTTGCAGGAACAGCAACTCATATTCCGCTTGGGAACCCTGCAGCCCAATGGTATCAATGTGGACTTCACAAGCTTCAAAATCTCCCCTACCGCATCCCAAAACCAGTTCAGCTCGTCCCCACCTCCCTAACGTGTCCTTCCTCCCACCTATCCCCTCCTCCCACCTCAAGCCCCACCCCCATCTCCTACCTACTAACCTCATCCCGCCCCCTTGACCTGTCCATCCTCCCTAGACTGACTTATCTCCTCCCTACCTCCCCACCTACACTCACCTTTACTGGCTCCATCCCCGCCTCTTTGACCTGTCTGTCTCCTCTCCACCTATCTTCTCCTCTATCCATCTTCTATCCGCCTCCCCCTCTCTCCCTATTTATTTAAAAACCCCTTCCCCTCCCCCATTTCTGAAGAAGGGTCTAGGCCCGAAATGTCAGCCTTCCTGCTCCTCTGATGCTGCTTGGCCTGCTGTGTTCATCCAGCTCTACACCTTGTTAACTAAGGCTGATTACTACCTGAATGGCTGTAAATTGTGAGAGGGGAGTGTGCAGCAGGACATGGGTGTCCTTGTGCACCAGTCTCTGAAGGTAAACATGCAGGTGCAGAAGGCAGTAAAGAAAGCTAATGGTATGTTGGCCTTCTTGAATGACTAGAGTAAGATTGGGGCCGGTCAAGGACAGTCGTGGGAAGTTGTGCGTGGAGTCCGAAGAGATAGGAGAGGCGCTAAATGAATATTTTTTGTCAGTATTCACACAGGAAAAAGACAATGTTTTCAAGGAGAATACTGACATACAGGCTATTAGACTAGACGGGATTGAGGTTCATAAGGAGGAGGTGTTAGCAATTCTGGAAGGTGTGAAAATAGCTAAGTCCCCTGGGCCAGATGGGATTATCCTAGGATTCTCTGGGAAGCTAGAGAGGAGATTGCAGAGCCTTTGGCTTTGATCTTTATGTCGTCATTGTCTACAGGAATAGTGCCAGAAGACTGGAGACTAGCAAATGTTGTCCCCTTGTTCAAGAAGGGGAGTAGAGATAACCCTGGTAATTATAGACCAGTGAGCCTTACTTCGGTTGTGGGTAAAGTGTTGGAAAGGATTATAAGAGATAGGATTTATAATCATCTAGAAAGGAATAATTTGATTAGGGATAGTCAACACGGTTTTGTGAAGGGTAGGTCGTGCCTCACAAACCTTATTGAGTTCTTTGAGAAGGTGACCAAACAGGTGGATGAGGCTAAAGCGGTTGATCTGGTGTATATGGATTTCAGTAAAGCATTTGGTAAGGTTCCCCATGGTAGGCTATTGCAGAAAATACGGAGGCATGGGATTGGGGGTGATTTAGCGGTTTGGATCAGAAATTGGCTAGCTGTAAGAAGACAGAGGGTGGTGGTTGATGGGAAATGTTCATCCTGGAGTTCAGTTACTCGTGATGTACCTCAAGGATCTGTTTTGGGGCCACTGCTGTTTGTCATTTTTATAAATGACCTGGATGAGGGCATAGGAGGATGGGTTAGTAAATTTGCGGATGACACCAAAGTTGGTGGAGTTGTGGATAGTGCGGAAGGATGTTGCAGGTTACAGAGGGACATAGATAAGCTGCAGAGCTGGGCTGAGAGGTGGCAAATGGAGTTTAATGCGGAAAAGTGTGAGGTGATTCACTTTGGAAGGAGTAACAGGCATACAGAGTACTGGGCTAATGGTAAGATTCTTGGTAGCGTGGATGAGCAGAGAGATCTCGGTGTCCATGTGCATCGATCCCTGAAAGTTGCCACCCGGGTTGATAGGGTTGTTAAGAAGGCATACGGTGTGTTAGGTTTTATTGGTAGAGGGATTGAGTTTCGGAGCCATGAGGTCATGTTGCAGCTGTACAAAACTCTGGTGTGGCCGCACTTGGAGTATTGCGTACAGTTCTGGTCGCCGCATTATAGGAAGGATGTGGAAGCATTGGAAAGGGTGCAGAGGAGATTTACCAGGATGTTTCCTGGTATGGAGGGAAGGTCTTATGAGGAAATGCTGAGGGACTTGAGGCTGTTTTCGTTAGAGAGAAGAAGGTTAATAGAGACATACAAGATGATCAGAGGATTAGATAGGGTGGACAGTGGGAGCCTTTTTCCTCGGATGGTGATGGCTAGCACGAGGGGACATAGCTTTAAATTGAAGGGTGCTAGATATCGGACAGATGTCAGAGGTAGGTTCTTTACTCAGAGAGCAGTAAGGGCGTGGAATGCCCTGCCTGCAAAAGTAGTAGACTCGCCAACTTTAAGCGCATTTAAGTGGTCATTGGATAAACATATGGATGATAATGGAATAGTGTAGGTTAGATAGGCTTCAGATTGGTTTCACAGGTTGGTGCAACATCGAGGGCCGAAGGGCCTGTACTGAGCTGTAATGTTCTATGTTCTAATGTTCTAATGTTCTAATGTTCTATGTTCATTGTGAGAGGTTTCAAGTACAGGAGCAGGGATGTGTTGTTGCAGTTGTACAGGGCCTTGGTGAGACCACACCTGGAATATTGTGTGCAGTTTTGGTCTCCTTTTCTGAGGAAGGATGCCCTTGCTGTCGAGGAAGTGCAGCGAAGGGTTACCAGGCTGAATCTGGGGATGATGGGTCTGACATATGGGGAGAGAATGACTAGGTTGGGATTGTTTCGCTGGAGTTCAGATGAATGAGGTGGGATCTCATAGAGACTTATAAAATTCTAACAGGACTAGACAGGGTTGATGCAGGGAGGATGTTCCCGATGGTGGGTGGGTGTGTCCAGAACCGGAGGTTATAGTATAAGGATTTAGGATAGACCATTTCGGATGGAGATGAAGAGACATTTCTTCACCCAAGGAGTGGTGAGCCTGTGGAATTCATTACCACAGGAAGTAGTTGATGACAAAACATTGAATGTGGTGACTAGATATAGCACTTGGGGCGAATGGGATCAAAGGTTATGGAGAGAAAGCAGGATTAAGCTATTGAGTTAGATGATCAGCCATGATCATGAAGAATGGTGGAGCAGGGTCAAAGGGCCGAATGCTCCTATTTTCTATGTTTCTATGTTTGTGTGATGAAAATGAAATAACAATAGGGTCACTCTGAGGAAACTGAATTAAATAAAAAGACCATCCAACAGGGATGGGAAGAAGCAGCACAGAACAGAAAAGTTTTTCATTGCTTACCACAATGGATATGAGACACAACAAGTCTTCATTTCTGCAAGGCCAGTGAGGTGAGCAGGTTGCGTCGACTAGCTGGTAAGCAATTGAGCAAAGGCAATTAAGCTGTAAGCAAAGACATCCAAATGATCCATTGTTGACACAACCATTAGCAGATGGGAGATCACAGCAGAATTTACAAAATAAAAGCAAAGATTTTGAATTTTGCAAACAGTGTTGGAAGAAGAGCTTCATCCCATAAGGAAATCTCAGCCAGTGTCCAAAATGCAATTGAATCTGCTGGAGATTGAGAGAGGGTTGATTTACGTAAGCAATGAAGCAGAATTAAAAGCAGCAAACAACTGTGGTTTTATTTAGTGCCAGGACTTTTTCTGAAGAATGTCTTTTTTCTTCTGCAGAAGTATTATATAACTTTTGAACTGGAGCTTATGTACCAGATATTAATGGAGTGCTGTCAGTGTTACTGGAGCAATAGGGAGCTTCCTTTGTGGCCTTGTGGTCGGCAGCAGGCCATTATTCACAAAAAGATTTCATATTAACACATCTGGCTTCAAACTATGGCTGTGAGTGTAAGCCCAGAGCTGGCATGCCATAACTCGAGGCAATTTGAAGATTTCATTAAAGAACATTTAAAAAATAATTGTTCAGGAGAGTGGGTGTCACAAATTCAGCTACTGTTCGTTGCCCATCACTAATTTCCCTGACTAAAGTGGTGCTGAGTTGCCTTCTTGAATCACTGCAGCTCCTAGAGTGTTCGGACAGCCATAATACTGTTAGGAAGGTTTCTTTAATCCAATGACAATGAAAGTTTAGTGATATAGTTCCAAGTTAGGATGTTGTGTGACTTGAAGGGATATTTGCAGATGGTAATATTCCCACGCATCTGCTGCCCTTGTCCTTCTCGATGGTATCCATTGTGGGTTTGGAAGGTGTAACTAGGTAACTTTGTAAGTGTAAATGGCGACTTATAAACTTTTCACTGTACTCATTTGAGTACATGTGACAATAAAGCTAATTCATTCATTCATTCAAGTTGCTTTTGAAGGAGGTGTGATGAGTTACTACAATGCATCTTGCATGTGATACATACTTTTGCCACTGTGTGTCAGTAATGAAGGGAGTGAATGCTGAAGGTAATGGATAGAGTGCCAATCAACTGGGCAGCTTTGTCCTGGATGCTATCAGGCTTCTTCAGTGTTGGAACTGCACCAATCCAGGCGAATAAAGCATATACCATCATACTCCTGAATTGTGCACCACCCATGTACAACTTATTGAAGGAACACTTGTTTACATAGGGCCTGTCCAAAATAACAATAAGTCCAACTAAGAATTGATTATGCAGTGATTCCACAAATACTAGAATATTTTGATTCTGATCTAGCCTAATATTAACTGTTGTGCCACAGAAATACTGATGTCCATGGTTAGTATGTATAAATAAGTTTTTCACCACTTATTCCACAGTGGGTGTCTTGGACTAATGACTCGAGTCTTGGAGGGATTGAGGGTTGTAAAACTCAGTTGCAAGCTGCAGATCCAGATTTTGGTAAGAAGATAATTAATTTACTTTACCCATTAAGGCCCAAGCTTTTTGAGAGAGATTGTGATTATGGGGTGAAAACTTTAATGAAGACATTACAAGGTGATCCAATGTGTAAATATTAAGATTGTTTAATACAGAATCTAAATGTCACAAAGCCTTAAAACAATAGATCTGATTGGAGTAATTAGCTTTTTAAAAGTCTGAAGATTGGCAAGGTCTCATTCACTTTGTGTCTCTAACTTTGTCAGATTTCATAAGGTTTGCCTTGTGAACTATACAAACTGAACTCCAGGCCTGGATTCTTTCCAGGAAAGCCTTCTGTCAGGAGTTGAGAAATACTTAAATGTGCCACTTTAAAGCTCATATAATTCACAATCAAACATACAGCCATTGAATCTCCCCTTGAAAAACAACGTTCTATCATCTCAAAACTAGCTAGTCTGTTAAGGTACACAAACCGAATACACAATTCAAAAGCCTATACAAAACAATAATTCCTATAGCTTTCTCATAAGGCTGTTAGTTAAACAAAACCACAGTCATGTAAAGAATTCCTGTTGATCTAAATCCATTATAGTTATTGGAACTCAGTCATCTTGTACATAATGAGATTACATTATACAGTTGAAAAAAACGTCTACAAAGTGCAATGCACTGGGTAATTGTAGTTCCCTGCCTAGCTGTTCAGAAACCTGTTTCTTTTTTAAACACTCGCTGGAGTTTCAGTCAAAAATATTGGGCAACAACTTAGTGGTTTTTAAAGTCTGAGAAGATCTCATTAAATCACTTTAAAGATCTCTTTAAAACTTTAAAGCATTGTGAACCTCAAACCACTCTGTTCAAATTACCCATTTAAATTTGATTCAATACTGTCGAACACAGAAAAGGTAACATACTCAAATGCATGGGAATGTTCAGAGAATCCCGATCAATAGTCATGTGGCTTTTGCAGACAGAATCCTATGATCAAGCACTACATTAAAACATACGTAAATCATCAAAAACCAATTCATTGCATCATTTAAAGTTGGTAAGCTTATAAACCTTTCTATGGAAAAGTTCCTTGCCTCCACTACAGACTTTCCCTAAATTTCATGAATCGACTTACTGAGCCTGGTTCCCACAGTTCTCAGGCAGCAAGCCAATTTGACAAAAATGCTGATGTCAGGGCAAATTAGTTTTGTTATAGTCGTTTAATTGGTGACTCCAACTTCACATTACAGGAGTCTTAGGTTACAAGATGCCTTGGTTCCTGCCTCAAGGAAAATAGTGTCCATCAGGAATCAACTGATAACTCGGCCCATGGCTGAGCGCTTAACAAGAAAGACTGTGAAGTTGAACTTTATTGCTTTATTTCTCTGTCTTTGCATTCTATGTTTTGGCTTATTTTTCTGTGTTTTACGATGGCATTGGAGAGTGGTTACACTATACAACACTTTTCACTGTATTTTGTAACAAAATACATGTGACAGTAAATAAATCAAATCAAAGTATAAAATTGCTGCTTTGCATGTCTCCAATTTGGGCCTCCTGAAGTGTATTCAGTTCATTTTGGGGAGGGGAAAATCCAATCCTTTGTCCTATTCCTTCTGTCTCTTTCAGTAATGGGGCATGTGCTAATAAATGGAATAGAACTGATTGGTACAGGGAGCTCTATTCGGCTGGATAAAGATCTGGATACTGCAGTCAAGAAGATGGTTGGACTTGCAAAGACACAAGGGATCACTGAACGGGAACGTCTTCATGTAGAAGCATTGGATCTGTTTGCAAAAGGGTAAGAAGAGTTATGTAAGGTATGATTTCAACTTTAAGTACATTGAAGATATTCTTTTGTGCACATGACTACTAGTTATTAGTGCTCATTTTTTTATTAGTCTAATCATTCAAAAGGCTAATCAGCTTTGTATAGAAAGTGATTTTCATAAGGTAGCATAATTTATAACATTCCTGCTCACTTTCCATTCATCCCTCGACAAGAAAAACACTTGGCCAGGGCTGAGGGGTGTTGTTGAATGACCCAGCCCTGCTCCTGTGTTCCTATTCTCTTCCTTCACATTAACGGCTGCCTCTATTCACCATCCACTATGACATAAATTTGAATTTATAACATCGGCATCAGGCAATTTCCCACAGGCAGTGCAGCCATCATAAAAATAAAGTAGTTATGAAATATTCAGTTTGCAACATATTAAGCTTTATTTTGGGCAATTCAGTAAATCTTTTTGCATTTTGTTAAAGGATAATCACATAGAGATGAATAAGATGTAAATAAAATATGATTTAAAATAGCCTCAGCAGCTGTTCCTGCAAAGTTACACTTAGAAAGTGAAATGATTCCTTACTACATACTAACAGAAGTGTCCTATTGTCTTATCATTTGTCATCAATTATAATAGATGCTGATAGATGAAGCCGTATTTAAGTGGTTGGTCCCTATAGGCCAATAATTGCTGAAGTAAAATATTCTTGAGCTTCAATCATTGTTTAATTATTGTTCAGTGAGAGATGTTACCAACTGGAAAGTTCTTGCAAGTTTCTGCTCCATGTTAGGAAAATTAATATGGATAAAACTGCATTTCTTAATGTTTTACACGCCGAACTATTTGGGAAAATATTTGCGAAAATTAGTGCATTTGTCAAGTTTTAAGTGAGATATTGTTATCTGATTCAAACTGTATTTAATATCTTGAATTCATCAAGATAAAAAGTTGTAATGATGTTTATGCTTACCTCCTTTTAAATTCTTTAGGGCTCTTCCAAAGGCATGTAGGCTATGGGAAGAAATCTTATTGTATCAGCCAACTGATATCTTGGCATTGAAGCTGGCTCACGATACATACTTTTATATGGGTCTCCCACAACAGTTAAGAGACTGTCTTGCACGGGCTGTTGCTCATTGGACGCCACAAATGCCACTTTATGGGTATGTATTCCATCACTTGTCAGAAAATATCATCAAAAAATATTCTGGCAGAATTGTTTTTTTGGAATTACTCATCCTTGTGCATTGATTTTACTGGGAGAAAGGATGTCGATATATATCCAACATCTTGAGGCTGGATTTGAAATTCAGTAACTCATGGTTCAGTCTTTCCCAGAGCTAGATAGTCTTTTGATTAACCTTGTTGTTCCACAGCGGTCATCAGTATTTACACAAAGAAGTCAATCAATCAAACCATCATATGTAGTCCATTAAAGTTGTTTACAAATGCACAAAGTTATAACCATCTGTACTCTAACTGATGGTCATCTTCAACTTCTTAATTAATTTGGGTTATCTTCAGACTCTAAAACATAAAAGCAAAATTCAGCTGATGCTGGAAATTTGTAAACAAACAAAAAGTGCTAGAAGCACTCAGTGGGTCAGGCAACATTTGTAAAGAAAGAACACTACAGAATTAACATTGCAGCTATCATGACAGTTGACTTGAAGTACCAACTTTTCCTTCCTTCCTCACAGATACTCTGACCCACTAACTGTTTCCTTCAGACTCTTGCCTCTTTCTATTCGTCCCTCGACAGGAAAAACACTTGGCCAGGGCTGAGGGGTGTTGTTGAATGACCCAGCCCTGTTCCTGTGTTCCTATTCTCTTCCTTCACATTAATGGCTGCCTCTATTCACCATCCACTACGACATAAATTTGAATTTTGTTTTAACTGAAATAGATATTTCTTTTATTCATCTGCCCTGTGAAAACACATTTTGGCTGGTATAGTGATCGAAGTCATACTTTCTGTTAGTATGAAACACAAGGTGTTCAATTAACCAACTGAACTAACTGATACCTCCAATTAGTTCACTTTTTCAAAAATGCAGTAAGCGGGAACAATTTCATTTGAAATTGGTTTTCTCGCTTTCTAATGCTAAATAACAAAAAGGATGATTTCATCTTGTAAATATTCCATTCTTGCTACTAATGCCAGAGGAAGTAGTAGAGGCGAGTACAATTTCAACATTTAAAAGACATTTGAACGGTACATGGATTGGAAAGGTTCAGAGGGATATGGGCCAAACACAAGCAAATGGGACTAGTTCAGTTTAGGAAACCTGGTCAGCATGGACAAGGTGGACTGAAGGGTCTGTTTCCATGCTGTAGACCTCTTTAACTTGTGTCACAGGATGGGATCTTTGTGGCATTTTTGTCTCTTATTGTCAAAAATAATTAAATTGATGCTCAAGGGATGCAGGCAAGTACCAAAATTGCACAATCACTCATGCTTTGGTAAAGTGGATATGTTGCCATTTCATGAGAAACCTACTGGGAGACTTTGTTGCAATTATTCCTCCTTTGATGCTCCTGTGCACGAGACCTTGAGGGATGTGGTAGCCAGACTCACTGGTGTGTACATTCTCAAATGGCTTTTGAAAACACATCAAAGAAAACTGCAGCTATCACGAATTTTGGCAAGTTCAAACTATCTATTGTAAACATAGCAGATGGTTCAAGATTCCATGCCACCTATGAACATGTGAACCACAACAGTAATCTGTATTTATAAAGTGCCCTTAACATAGGTCCCAAGGCATTTTTGCAGGAAAGTTATAAGACAAAATTTGATAAATAACATATGGATATACTAGGTCAAGTGAGCAAAACAGGACTTGTTGTGTAGTAGGATATAACCAGCAGAGTTTTGAGTGACCTCAAATTTTCTGAGAGTAGAATGTTGGAGGCAGGTTGAAAGTGCATTAGATTAGTCAAGTCCACAGGTAAAAATAGCATGGATAAATGTTTCAGCAGTGAGTGAACTGAGGGGGGATGAAAGTAATGTTATGAGTCAGAGGTGGGCAATTTTAGTGATGGCACAGATATGTGATCAGATGTTCACCTTAGGTCAAATACACCACAAAGTTTGGGAACAGCCTTGTTCAAGTTCAATAGTGGCAAAGAGAGATGGATGGAGTCAATGGCTAGAACATAGGATCAGCTGGAGTTCTATTCTGTAATCATGATCCTGATATCAGGAGTATTTCCAGGTCCAGACCTTTGGCCTATAGAGACTAATTAGTAGCCAGGGTGTGCACTCACCGATTAAACCAGCAGTGGAAGTGCACAGTTCGCAAGAGAATAGCAATTTGGGCGTTATTTACGGGTGTGGTTTCAATTATCAAAGCTGTAAGCACTGAAATGCTCTTCCTACACTTCTCCATCACTCCAACAATTTCTTGAATTGCTCCTTTAAATATAACTCTTTGACCAGGCTTTTGATCCAGTAATAATATTTCCTTATGTTGCTTGATATCAAGTTTTGTTTTGTAATATTACTATGAAGTGTCTTGGTAGATTTACAGAATCACAGAACTGTTACGGTGCAGATGTGCCCATTCAGCCCTTCATGAACACCATGACTAGATGCTATTCACCCCTAACACTACACATTATTTTTACTTAAATAATCATCTAGTGCCTGCTTGAATGCCCCAATTGAACCTGCCTCCATCATATTTCACGGCAGTTCATTCTGAACTATTCGCTGCATGAAAAAGTTCCTTCTCACATCACATCTACTTTTGCACGAATGTCATATACAGTTTCAGCATTATTCCCTGCTGTTGTACTCTATGCCACCTTTAATAAAGCTAAAGATTCCTTATATTTTATTAACTGCTGTCTGCACCTGTCCTGTCACCTCTAATGACTTATGCAATTGTATAATGAGATTTCTCTGCTCCTGTGTAACCTTTAGCATAGTACCCTTTCTCTTATACTGTTTCTCCATATTCTTTCTACCAGATTGGATCACTCATACTTCTCCACATTGAACTTCATGTGCCACCACTCAGCCAATTCCAACTCAATGTCCCTTTGAAGTTCTACACTGCCCTCCCACACTTCAGAATCCTCCTAAGTGTTTACCATCCACAGACTTGAAAATTGTCCCCTGCACTCCAAGGTTTACATTATTAATTTTAAGCAGGAAAAATGTCCCAATACTGAATCCTGGGGAGCCCCCGCTCCAAACCTGAAAGCCTAAAAATTATTCATTCCCCATTACTAACTGTTTTCTATCACAATCAATTTTGTTTCCACTTTAGAGATAACAAGCTGTAGAGATGGATGAACACAGCAGGCCAAGCAGCATCAGAGGAGCAGGAAGGCTGACGTTTCGGGCCTAGTCTAGGC